AATCAGAAAACAATAAATAAAACTACAGAGGCAGCAATCATTAACCAAATCCTGTCCTAATGCCTCCCCACACATATGTTGTCCCCTCCACCATCTGTTTTACAAATGCAACAAACTAAACTAAACAAGCTCCCAGTAGCTAAATTCTTTGCATCTCTGAAAGCACATGGATCCCTGTGCCAAAGTAAACAATCTCATGGAGAGTTTACATAAAACAAGTGAACTAATTTCTTCATAAACAAAGGAACTACAAATTGGTTCAAAGCCTGCCATAGTACATCCTGTGAAAACATCCCCCCACAAGGAAAGGAGTAAAATAACCCTAAGTGGGATGTTGAATGCATACCCAGCCTGGCACCCTTACCTTCACACCAGTGTAGGAAGTACAAACCTACTCTTCCTACAGGCCTTGTACAGAATAATGCCAACCTGCTTCCTGCTATTGCTGCAGGTTTAGTAGCAGTGCAATGCAAAAGGTCACAAAGGTGATCCATTCCAAAAATTAACAGAGGGAGAAAGGATGACATGACTGTGTCACCCTGGTGCATGGGAGAGCTAGTTATGGGCTGGTTGAGAGTTGCATCTGGTGCAGGAGACCACTGCAGTACAAAGTCCATGCACCCATTCACACCAACATGGTGATACAGTGATTGGGGCGGGGGAAAAGAAGGGAAAGAAATTTGTTTCCCTTACATGGAGATTTCTTTTTCCTTGGTGCATGCACCAAATTCTGGGATATTAACAAGTGTCAAACAACTCAACACAAAACAAATCACCTGCCTGAAAGTATAAAAGGCAGGGGGAAAGGAAAGATGAGCTTCCACTTCCATACAGGACTGGAGCTGGCTTGGCCTTGATTCTGATTTTTCCCAAGTCTCCTTTGGGAAAAGTCCTAGAGCCACAGCTCCATCTGGAGTCTCAGATTTGGCTAAATGCAGGCTGAGGACATCCCCACATAGAGCAGTCTAGAAATCTTACCTGCAGTTTGACTTTAGGGGCTCAGGATTGGAGATTCACTCTTTCAATACATCCACCACCAAATTCAGCTCTTTATAAAGATACACTCTGATGTGTCCTAGGTGAATTCAGATGAAACCCCAGGCTTACACTGAAAGAAGAGCATCCAGATAGACTTTTCCATTGCTTGGGAAACAGATTCTAATTAAACCTGTGCAATTTTCCCAAAGAGGCAGGACTGTGCAGCTCAAACTTAACAGCTCTTGTCAGAGCCCAAAGCTAGGAGATTCATCCAAGTTAACCTTCTCTATGATCAAGTTTTTTCAAGTCATCCATGCTCATGGCATGTTTCCATTACCAGGACTCATAAAAAGATGTTTTGATCCAGACTTTAAAGAGCTAGGCCCTAAATGCATGTCCCAGAGCATTCACTCACCCATGTGACTGCCAGAAGTGCAAAAAGTGCCTCCCTTGCAGCAAAGGAGCTGTGTGGTGGCACTTCTCCCATGGACCAGTACAGTGATTTTCAAAAGCTGCTACAAAGAAAACAAAAAGCAAACGAAAAATCCCTCCCTATAATCACTTCAAAGCACATTGATCTGGAGTCAAAATGCAGCAAACAGATTATTCTCACATGCCCCAGCTCCTGCAGAGACCCATGGAAACCCATATGGCACTCCAAGTGTGGAGACTTGAGAAAGAGTCTGAATCCCAGGGGCCTTGCTAAGTATTACAGACAATTCTTACCAGTTACAGCAAGAAATAGGGAAAGATGGCATATTAAAGAAGGGCAATAGAAAAAAAGTGTTTTTTTTCTTCTTGTTGCACACTTCCGAAGGTGACATACTGTGGACAACAACTGAAACAATAAAATGCATTCCAATATTCTATATTGTATTGATCATTTGATGGTCTCTCTTTAAATCAGTAGCTTTAAATGCTCTTATTAAAAAAAATTTGCTGAAATATGTAGAGGCTGAGTTTGGAAGCAGTCTGTGCTGGCATAAATAAAAAACAAGTCAATGGATAAGAAGGGAATTAGAGTGGATATGAGTACACAAAAATTACTGAAATCAGCTTACAGACTTAATGCATTCTGCTGACAGTGGTGGTGGGGGAGGTTGTTTACTTAATCCAGAGAGTTTTTAGGCATACTGAAAAACAGAAGTAGGGACGGCTAACCCACTGTTGCTAGGTCCCACTGCAATTTGAGGTTTGCCTCTCCATTCCTATGGTTTGGAACATTTGTTTCTGAATGCAAAATTCAAATGAATATTGCCCAGGTGGCACTGTACAGTCCCCACTTTGCTAATGTTCATACTGGAGCAGACAACAAATGGGCAAAACTGTTTTGGAGGGCAGTCGGGGAGGGATGGAAGCAGCACTCAGTTGCCTTGGAGTTATCCAGGTTTATCTACACATCACACTGTATGCTCCCTGGTTCTCATAATTAGAGTGTCTAGACAAGAGATGATGCCAGCAAAGTAGCAAGTAAAAGAGGTTTTGCAGAGTTTTTTAGAGGAGCCCACCTAAAGCAGTGACTACAGAATAATGACAGACAGAGTTGCAGACCCTAGCTAAGAATAGAGTAACTTTTGACCAAAGTAAAGGTCTTTTCATAGCCATTCACATCCTGAAAGAGCTCCTAAATAAGAACACCGATGGCTCAAGCACTCAGGAGGGATCAGAGCTTTTGAACCAGCATCAGACTAGAGTTTTCTGCAAAAGTAATTCCAGCTGCCTCAGCTTCATCCAAATACTGGCATTTAGCAGCCTCAACTTGTGTAAACCAGCTTCACTCCACTGAAGTCAATAACAATTGACACCAGCTGAGCATCTGGCTCTCAATGTGGTTTAAATATAGTCTAAAGAGAGAACTTACAGAAGGATTGCCCAATCCTTCATGTCCATTTCCCCCTTGGGCTAGGACTGAATAAGATTGATTTTTTTTCTTTATAATTTAGCTCCCGTTATTTTTAACAACAACATTATGAGCTCACATTTATTATAGCACCTTCCATCCTCCAGTAGCCAGGCTGTCTTTCAGACTTCACCAAGGATCACCGGGGGGATGGACACAGCACCAGGATGGAACCACCTCGGGATGCAACATAGCAGATACTCAGCATGCACAGAAGACTGGCCACAAACACAATAAATCAGCAAGGGTACTATGATAATTCAGCTTCATCATTGCAAGAGTAAGCTTCAGCCATTTTCACAAAGAGGAAATTTAAGGAGTAGTTTCAAATCTTCCCTTGAGCTGTCCATGAGGTGGCTGTTGTCCAGCAATGCAGGATGACATGGTCGCACACTGTGGCCCTACACACAAAACATGAAGGCAAATTACACACTGCTGGGGAAAGGCAAGCATGAGTGACCTTTGAGAAAGAAAAAGTAGCTGGGTCACTCCCACTGTGACAAATCAGGGCTCTTTGGTATTGCCCCATCTCTTTGGCTCAAATGTCCCTGCAAGACATGGCAATCTCCATGCACAGAATGATCAGGCTGTGAGCCTCCAAAGCTTTAGCTACCACACAGTGACACGTACACAGGTTGCCAACCAAGGCAGGAAGTTAATTAGTTTTGGAAAGCTCAAGGGTCTGACATCCTTCACCAACACTTTTTTAACGTGAGAGAGAGAAGCTAAGAAAGTGCAAGAGGAAAAATAGGCTGTGTTGTGGGCTTAAATCTGTGCCATTATGCTAGAGGTAGAGTGACACCAAGTTTTGTCAACAGTAGCATAGTCCATTTTATCTGGGATCAGAGCAGGAAACCAGGGCCCACTCAGATCCTACCGTACGGGAATGGCTTTGGAAGAAACATCTTCCAGATGGTCCCCCTCAAGCCACCACAGAGCAATGAAAATGCAGCAAATAAGAGCTGTGGCCATCACCCAAATGCTCCATCAAAGACACGAACTCTGGTCTCTTTAAAAAAAAAAAAAAAAAAAAAAAAAAAAAAATTTAAAAAAAAAAAAAAAAAAAAAAAAAGAGAAAGAAAACCAATACAAACAAAAAAAACCCACAGATCCATTAATGAAAACTAAAGCACAAGGCAAGGGGTGATGAAAACAAATAAAACTAAGGCTGTAAAATGCCTGGTATGTAAGATGTGTTGAAACTTGCTGCTGACAGCAGCTTGAGCAGACATTCACATGCAGCCATTCATAAGATGTACAGTAATTACCTTCTCCGGGAGGCTGCATTATGATGATTTTTTTAGGCAGAGCACAATATCTCTAGCAACAGGATATAATTACAGCAAAGGATATGTCTCTTAACCTCTTTCTATGCCCCCAGCCAGTTTGGGGAGCAGATCTGGGAGCCAGGGGCTCTGTGGTGAGGGTACAAGTAGTTTACCCTGTGCTGCTGCACTCATTACCTAGAGCCAAGCATGCTTCTGATGGGAGCTGTGGTGGTGTTGCTCTCACAGGAACATGACTGTCTCTCCCTCGCCTCTGGGTGAAACACTCCCAGCACTGCTGGACTTGGACAGATCTGGCAGCAGCCACCAGGCCACCGAAGGAGTTCGGCACAGTCAGCCTGCTCTGGGCCGACACCTCGGTGGTAAATAAATAAATACCAAAAACAAACAGGCAAGGGAATGACTCAGGACTGGAACACACTGGCAGCACTGTGAGGCAGCAGGACTTTCACCTCCAGACTGCGACCTTCCTGGCCCCAAATACCCCACGCTGCAGAATGCCTTTGGAGAGCTGATGGGCTCTGAATAAAGGCCCAAGGCTCCCACATAAGGACTGGTACCATGACTAGCATGGGCTGTGGTGTCTCCAGGGGATGGATGCCACTTCCTGGTGATTTCCTGGCTCACCTACAGCAGCCAAAAGTGGGTGTTCTGCCCCACGACCACAGCCCTCCTGCAGAGAAGCACAGGAAATCGTACTGATGCAGCTGTTGCATTGATTTATGTAGGATCCAAAAACAGAGAGAGATGCAGGCAATGACAGAGCCCTAACAGCTGTGTGCTCAGCTGAAGGACTCAGTCTTTCACATTGCCTCCATCCATTCCCGGTACTTACTTCTCCGGACTCCTCTGAAACAGTGAAGTGTCCAGCACAGTCACTGGTGGTCAGTGAGTTTTGCTGCACTGGGAAGCATCTCATTGAGAGGTCCCACTTGTGAGATCAGCAGGTACAAGGTTGTGAACATCACAAATTGCTTTTAATTATTTCAGTCTTCAATCCTGGAGGGAAAAAGTAAAGAGTTAATCCTTGTCCCCAAACCAAAAATGCAGTTCTGCATCTGACCCTAGTCTCTGTTGTTAATAGCCCACACACTGATTATCTGAAAATCAACATCAGAGCTCAACCTTTTTTCCAAAACCAGGAAACCAAAACATGGGCTCTCCATGCCAGATACTGAAAGTAGAGAATCTTGGAAGCTTTCAGAGCCCTTTTTCAAGATACAGACATGTTTCCATTACAAGATAGAGATTTTTTTGTAGATGAGAGACTGGAAATCTTCTTTTTCTAATATGAAACAACTAAAATTAAAGAATAACCAACATTTTCCTCACTGGTCTGGAAATGGTGTTACAAGTGAAAATCAGCTTGGTCCAAGTTTGCAAGCTGTGATATCAGTAGGAGAATTTCCCTTTGCATGTACAAAAGGAAATGAATTTTGCATCCGCCGGATGGCAGTGTAGGGAGAGCAATCATATTAGTCATAGTATTATTGTTTTCCTTTTAAGCCTCTCAAAAGTGATTGCAGACACAGCAATTCATTGCTTATTAAGATCTCCCTGCATTACAACCAGGGAAAAAAATCTAGGTCTCATTAATAAACCATCTTCTAGGATCTCTATAAGAAGACAGACTTTGATTAGCCAAAATCGTTCAATAAATTATTTGGCTTGCCTGACAAAGAGAAATGATTGATTGGAAAGTGTGTGCTTTAAATAGTTCACTCTTTTTAATAAAAGCAAAGACTTCAGATAGAAATACAAATAGTAAAAAGGCAGTATTTCTGCTTCCAGAGAAGATCACTCCTTGTACCAGGCTGATTGGTGCTGGCAGCATACACAAAGTTCACTTCAGAATCCTGACTCTGCACGATGGAATTATTCTAAGTCTGAAATGAGAACATCTTCTGCAGTTTCCCTTGTAAAGCACATTGATGAGCAGGGAAACCTGTTCTACTCCCAGACACCACATCAGTTACCAATTGCAGACCAGATATTTATTTCCTGCATAAAATAAAACCGAGCAGCAAAGCAATGTGTTAAAATCTATGCACACAGTATTGCGACATTATATAACCAAGAAGATAGCCCCAGAGCAATAAGAAATGGGAGAAAACAGCGCTTGGGAAGCCAGGCCACCGGCCATCCTCATTCCACTAGAGGGCAATAGCAAATAAGCGACAGAAAGCTGGAAGGTTGCGCTAAGCCGCTGAGCAAGGGTCAGGTTCGCTTCCCGCAGCCCCGGCTGCCGGCAGGTACCGCCCGCCGGCCTCGGCTGCGGCGGGCCAGGCAGCGGAAAACAGCCACTGGTGGCTTTGGTCTAGGAAACAGCCGCAAGAAGAACGACTTTCCGCGGGATGTCCTTAAGCGTCAGCAAATAGGTGGTCAAATATTGCTCTGAACAGATGATTGAATCAACCTCACACATCATTCAGTTGCAGATGTTACAGTGAGAAAGATCAGGCTGCTGAAGCCTTTCCATCTCCCTACTGGGTTTACTGAAGGGAAGGTTTGGAGGTGATTTGATCTAACTCTATTAACATTTCTCAGCAGGGGACTATGAGAGATGCTAAAGGACTTCAAAAATTTAATAAACACAACTATAACCAGATCCAGAAGCTTAAAGTAAAAGCTGGAAAAAATCAAACTGGAAATAATACGAATATTTAAAAATTAAAACTTGCAATAACACCAGTAGTTAATCACTTGAACAAATTATGTAGGGGAGAGTTTTATTCTCCACCCTTAGAGCTCTTAAAACAAGATTTGCTGTCATCCTAAAACATGTGCTGTAGCTTAACAGTGAATTATTAGCCTTGATGCAGACATTACAGGTACAGTTCTCGTCTGAGCGAGGCAGAAGGTGAGATTAGATTAGCAGCACGGTCTCTTTGTGTAATTACAGTCTACAGATATCAAGGTTCTTGTCACAAAAAATTGTCTTTCAGCTGCAGGGACTGACTCCCACGTTGGCAAACTCACTTCATAGGCTGTGGGGACACAACAGTGGCAGCAGTTCCAAGGACTGTCACATGGCCTTCAGCTAACAGGCCAGCTTCTCTTGCCCAGTCATTACCTGTCTCTACAAAGAAAAAGCCTTCAGCCTAAAGAAACTCTTCTCTACAGCAAGCTGTCCAGAGCTAACAGACAGGCCATTCTGTACCTGAGCCGAGTACTGGCTCCTGGGCTGTGGTACCAGCTGAGAAGAGACTTGGACAAGAACTGATACGTGACAGCGATGGAAAAGAGGCACGGGCCAATTTCAACATTTTGAAGCCTTCAAAAAGAGGAGGCTTCCAAAAGCATCATAGCATTGAAGCACCACCAACCTCAGCCCAGCCTTTGTGAGCTGCAGGGCAGACAACACCAATGTAAACAAAAGCTCAGCCTTTCTCACCAGAGACATGGAGCAGTGCTATTCCAACTGTGATCTGCTTCCAACCTTACCAAATGCCAGTGCTTTATGAGACTGGACAGTTATGAAACAAGCCAAATGTGATGACAGTACATTGGCCTTTGCAGTTACTCTGAGGCATTTTTCTGTGGAAACAGCACAGGAAGGTGTGGGACTGAGGCAGGCAGAGAGCAGAAGCTCACAGCACTCAGTGTTCATGCTCTTCTGTAGAGGAAAGGCTTGCAGATGCTTCTGAGTGTTTTGTCAAGGCTGACAGGTATTGCCAGTGATCTGAGGGAGCACTCTGGGAGATGGCACAGACATGGCACCAGCTGGGGCACAGTTGCCCTCTGTGCTGAAATGGGAGTGCTGGCCCAGGGAACCACACCTGCCAGGCCCCCAAGTGTCCTGTCCCGAGGGGACAACATCTGCCTTCAATAGCTGCACATGCTGGGCTGATGGCTCAGTTTTCTGAACTGTGGAAAAAAAACACCAGCAAATTGAAGCAAAAGGATTTGAGGTGTAAAGGAGTGTAATGACAATGTGTTTGGACATTGTACTATTTTGTAGGATGGGATATGCCCTAGTCCAGTTTCCTCCAAGCACTGCCTCCATGACTCATCTGCAGCAAGTCTCCCCTCTCCTTCTTCCCACTAAGCTCAGTCACCTGTAGGAACCCACAGATGTCACTCCCAGCTTTCTTCGGGCTTCTCACATATTTGCTCACATGTGATCTGTCTAATATCTGAAGCCTTCCTTTTCCATAAGGAAACCCCAGCTGAGGGGCACTACTGTTTACCTAAAGTGATCAGCAATTAAACCCCATCAGTTAGAATGAGCTTGCAACAAGTCCTACAAATCAACAGTTTGAACAGCTTTTCTGGGCTGGTCATCTCCAAAGCAGAAGGTCTGGAGTGACTGTGGCTGTTCCACTTCTTGGGGCCACAGGCATGTGAGATGTTCCTTTATCTGCACTGACACAAATAAAGCAAACACCATGATTCTGACAGTAAATGCTGGAACCAAGGGCACGCCCCTGCACTCTCCTACCCAATTTGCAGAACAGAAGAGAGGGTGTTACGGGGCAGCAGGGGCAGCAAATGTAATACAGGCAGGTGTCAGACTAACACAGTGCTGGTGGAGGCAGGAAAGTGAAAGCATCTAGGTGGGAGTGGAAAGCCAAATTACAGGTCGAAGGGTTAAGAGAAGAGAGCCCATTATTCATCACTACTACTGTGTTCCAGGCATAAGAAACATTTGGAGATAATTAGTGGGAGAACAGAACAATGCACTAGAGAAAGCAACAATGCCCTGGTTCAACCCAGCAGATGAGCTCTGTGCTCAGAGCAAATTGGTCTAAAATAAGTATTGCTCCATCTCAAAACCAGAAAGGTGTGACCTACTTCTCTGACCCTAGCATCAGCTGGCAGGAAGGGAATTGGCAGAATGATTCTTCATTCCCATCACTGGAGATTGAGCATATTCAGTTCCATTTCAGAAATAAAAGCCAGCAGCTTTTCCAGCTGATTTTGGGTAACTAATAACACAGAACTGCACTCATTAACTAAGCTGGCTTGTATTGTAAAGAGTTCCAAGGCAACAACTAAATGGACTTGATATTAACAGCTGTGATAGTGTCAGTGTTACTTAGAAGCTTTAACTAATAGCCTTAACATTTTCAAATGTAAAGTATATTCTGTTTTTTTAATTATTTCAAGGGCTTTTATGAAATTTTGCTCCCAAATAGTAGCACTTTTCAAAACTGAATACAGGACCTGAATGCTAGGCTCTATGCAAGCCCTGAGCACTTTGGTCCTTTTCAGATGAACATTCCCAGAGAATCATAGTTACACAACTGTAGTTCTGAAAGTTATTTTCCAAAGATGTTTAGAAATTGTAATGTCAAATGAGTTTGATTTTATTGCTAAATTATTATTTGGGTATTGTCTTTTAGTGAAAATACTCTTGGACACTGAGCTTGCTGATCACAGGGCTCATGCTCTAAAGAAGAAATTAATACTTCAAGTTTCAATTTTTGGAGAAGAAGGGAATATTTTGAGGTCTCACAATAAATGAATTTGTCAGTGAACTTGTGGGCTACAAGCACATATTTTTATTTATCCTGATTTCCCACTATTTACCAGCAGAGAAAATCTCAAAAACTCCTGGGTCCCAAAGTGTCTCTATGAAATGCAGGTAGTTGCATGGGCACCACCTGTATTTAACAGGCACAAAATCTTCTGTCTATGGGCAGAAATTAAGGCATCAACATCTAATGAACAACATCCACCCTTTATAAGAGTATATTTCCCAAACCTTACACAAATCACAACTTCAGCTGAACTGCTTTGAAAGCCACTCTTTTGCATGTTGTGAAGATGTGCCCAAGTGCAGGACCAGCCTGGAAGGTGGCAGCAGCCTGTCCCAATGGGAGAATGGTCAGATAAGTGAGCCTGACATCCTTAGCAACTTCACATAAGGAAGAGCAGGTCCCATTGCATCTGCCCTGTGCCATCCCCTCCTTTGCTAGATGGGCTATTTGAAAATTAAAGCAAAGATATATAAATACACAATTGCAAGGACAGACAAGTGCTGACATGAGTATTGC